AGACTAGGAAGAAAGAGCGACAAACTACTTCTGAATCCTTATGAATAGCAGAAAAACAGATTGAATAAGTATGGTGAAAGAATACAACCCTGGGTCATACCTTTCCTAATTTTAAACCATTCAGTACTCCATTGTTCTGTTCCAAAAACTACCCTTGGTTTCTCCTGAGCACAATTATGCTCTGAAATTCCCATTCTTTGCAATGTTATCCATAGTTTGTTAGGATCCACACAGTTGAATGTCTTTGCATAGTTAATAAAGCACAAGTAAACATCTTTCTGTTATTCTTTGCTTTTAGCCATGATTGAGCTGACGAAAGCAATGATACACCTCATTCTCCATCCTCTTCTGAATCCAGCTGGGATACCAGGGAGCTTTCTGTTAATGCACTACTACAATTCATTTTTTAATTATAATCAGCAACATTTTACTTGTATGTGATATTGATATTGCTCCATGATATCTGCATTTTGTCAGGTCACCTTTCTTTGGAGTAGGCACAAACATGGATCTTTTCCAATTAGTTGGTCCTCTATATTTTTTGACATAAATGAGTGAGCACCTCCAGTACTGCATTAGTTTGCTGAAACACGTCAGTTTGTAGTTTGTCTAACCCTGAAGTCTTATTTTTCACCAATACTTCAGTACTACATTGAATTCTTCTTTCAGTATCATCATCAGTTCTTGATCAGATGCTACTTCTTGGATCCTTTTGGTACAGGATTGTGTATTCTTTCCATCTTCTTCTTCTTCTTTTTTTTAATGTTTCCTGCATCCTTAAGATATTTTGCCCATAGCATCCAATATTACAAGTCAAGGCCTGCATGCTTTCTTCAATTCTTTCAGCTTGAGAAAAGCTGACCGCTTTCTTCTCTTTTGGTTTTCTTACTTATGGAAAGGTCTTTGCACATTCCATTATAATACTTTGTCTTCTCAAGCTGTCCTCTGAAATCTTTTGTTTAGCTCTTTATTTCCTCAGTTCTTCCAGTTGTTTTAGTTT